CAAGGATAGGAAATGATTTAGCCAAGTTTACCCAGGCTATTAACTGTATCTTAGCCCATTGTTAAACCTGGGAAGAGATACACTCGAATCTAAAGGGAGCCAAGAAATCCAAATAGTAGTCCTTGGGGACTTGACAGTTTACTTTGTTCTCCAAAATCTATTATATGATTTTGTACCAAGCAAATGGGAAGTCTTTTATTCAAGCCTTTTAGAGATTTCCAATTTGGATACTTGCTACTTCGCTACTCCAAAAGGATAGAAAAGGACAGGGAGTATAACAGTGGTAGAGCATTTGTCTAGCATGGGTGAAAACACTGGATTCAGTTCCTAGAGAAAAAAAGGAAAGCAATAAGCAAAAGTAAATGTCATGTAACATAGGCTGGTCAGCGGTGGACTCTTAAAACAGTGGGTATCACGGAGGTGGCTGAGAAATAGGAACAGAAGTGGAGAAAGGAATGGCCACATTAGCAGTTTCATCTAGTTGATAAGGGTCTAGAAACAAGAATCTGTGTGGACAAGTGACTCCCTCCCAGTCATAGAAATGTTTGTATATAATGTCATCAGTGTCCATGGAGATCTGCTTCTTACCTTGAGAAATCCCTCCTCCATGTGCGTTCAGATAAACAAGAGTTGCTATGTCCATAGACTTCTTTCCCAGATTATCATTTTTACCAGAAAGTCAATGTCACAGCAACTATGACGTTATAATAAAAACTTAGAAATTTTAAAAAAAAGTCAGTGTCAGCGGTATGTTCAGAAAGACCTAGTTTTTAAAAGTTACAATTCCTGCACTTTTTTTTTTTTTTTTTTCAGAACCAAGAATTGAACTCAGGCCCTTGCACTTGCCAGGGAAGCGCTTATTCTACTGAGCCATCTCCCCAGCCCTCTATACTTTGGAGCTGAAGGGATGTGTATAGCTAAGAGTAAGGATCAAAGAAGGGACAATATATTTTTGGTTCTAAATGTTAAGAACTTAATGGAGATTTATTAGAAGAATGTACTGAGCTTCCTACTGTAGCAGAATCAGTGGAAGAAGTTATTGAATAAGGCTCAAGAAGCTAGGATCAGGGTGGAGGGGCTCAGATGTTCTTTATTCCCTTATGTTTATGTGAGAAGAACTAGGAGGAGAAATGATAGCTGGATATCATAGGAAATATTTATCAGAGGTCCTATAGTCAGTTAGGAACAGATTCTGGGCTAGAAATAGAATAATTTGAAATTATTATTAATAAAAATGGAAGCCTGGCTGGGGAGATGGCTCAGTAGAATAAGCGCTTCCCTGGCAAGCACAAGGGCCTGAGTTCAATCCTTGGTTCCACCAAAAAAAAAAAAAAAAAAAAATGGAAGCCTGGATTATTTTCATGTGAAGTATGGAAATACACATATGGTAAACTTTATATTAAATGTCATACTAGTTGCTGAGCTGTTCATTCATTTCTATTTTTTAAGTATTGTTGTTGTATAGAGGATAGATTTTAGGGAAATATGTATGTACATAGGAAAACTGGTTAGGAACTCTGGTAGCTCTCTAGGGGAGAAACAATGGTGGCTTGGACTAAAGTCAGGTCAAAGGAAATAGAGAAAAGTGGACAGATATGAGGCAATTTCAGAAGTAGAACCTTAGGACTTGCTGTTAGGTTCAGTGTGGTGACTAAGAAAAGAGAAAAACCAAGGAATTAAGGATAGTAGTTAAATTTCTGTGAAGGTTAGGGTCCAGGCCTATTTGGAGCAGAATTGAGTTCTAATCTGGCCATGTTCAGTTTGAGACTTGTAAATTCTGTTAGGCACTGGGGTACACACCATCAAAATCTTGTCATGTAGAGCCTCCAAACTAGGTGAGTACTCCAATAAAGAGATCATAGCTAGAGCAGAAAGCCCAGTTGTCACTTGTGCCATCTTTTCTACATACACTAAATACTCAGGCAGGGATCACAACCATTCCCTATGGTGAATCCCTTGGAATGCAAAGCCAGATTCATCCTTCAGGGTCAGCTAAGAAGTAATCAAATAGACTGTTTAACAAGCTTCAAAACTTCTCCATTTAAATGTGTCCTGATTCCTCCAAAGTAGAGCCTTTGGGCAACTAAACAAACAATGGGACCATCCTTTTCAAAACTATTTTGATACTTCTTTTTTAAAAAATAGACTTTCTTGTTTAATTCCCAAGTATCACATATGTACTGTATTCATGTATAAACACACACATTTACATTTATATGTAAATATGCAGACTGCATTTTTACAAGTGCATTTTTCCAAAGCAGATAAACAATCAGGTCCTACACAGAAGGAACCATCAAAATGCTTCTGCCATCAGAACAATGGCCGCGTTCAGGAGTGTCCAGGGTGAAGCGGGTTTTCATCAGGTGAGACAGGCAAGGCTGGTTTCCTAACATCGATGGTGTCCTCTGCAGATCCCTTTATTGTGTGGAACTATTTCAGTTCTGGTGGTCTAACAAAATCATTGCCTATTCTAAAAATACATTTTTCTTTTCTGATTACCACTGGAAGAAAAAATAGACCCTTCTGATTATGTTTTTTTTTTTTTTTTTTTTTTTTTTTTCCTTTCTGGTGTGTTTTTTTGTCTTTCCCATGGTAGCTGAGGTCAGCATCTACATTTCAGTTACCAACAGCTCTTCCTGGCTGTTATCTATGCATAATTATAACAGACCTCCCACTTGGGCTACTTGCTGATCATGAACTTCTATCAGCAGGAAAACAGAGTCAGAAAAGTTAGAAGAGCTCCCCACTAACTAGCATGCTGGCCAGGCTGCCCGGCAGGGAGGGAGCGCTGTTGGGTGCTGGCTAGATCCTGCCCCTTCTGCTCGGGGGCTGAGCTGTGGGGCACCTAGATGAGACCTGAGTTGGAAATGTGTGTCCCTCAGACTTAGCAGGGGGAGCAAGGTAGTTTTCTGTTGTCTGAAATGATGGACAAATTTAAATTATTGTTAGGTTAAGGAAGAGCCCCACTTGTTACATGCTGTTGGGCTTCTTTTCCCTCCAGACCTCAGTTAGCATCAGTAGAATGGGGAGAGTAAAGGACCTATCTCATTTGTTGTGATTTTACAAAATTTTAAATGATTGGCACAATATTCAGCATGGAGCAGGGCTGGATAACTTTGGTGTGGATGCGATGGAGATGATTCTTCCCTTTCTTACTCGGCAGTGTCAGAGCAACCTGGCCCATTCCCAGGGATAGCAGATCAGGCAGTACCACCCAGGCTGGCACTAATGTGGTTGAATTTTTTCTCCCTGAATCTTCTTTCTGCCTTACCTGCTGTTGCTGCTTCTCTCCCAAAGCACTTCTCTTGAGGCACATTTTTTTCTTTCTGCTTAGTGCCTCTTTCTGCCTTTCTAGTTTTTACTTACATTTCCACTGGAGGAAACTTTCTTGTCTGAGTGTTGGGCCAATCCAGTTGGTAGAGGTTTCAGTTCATAGCTGGCTGGGTCCAAGGCAGGGAGGCATCACAGAGGGAAAGCAGTTCACAGAAGGCAAAGCAACAAAGCAGCAAAGAAGCAAGTCCAGGGGTGATACTTCTCTTTAGAGACACCTGCAGAACCAGGTTTTAAGCCTGGGGAAACTTACCAAACAGAGTTTCAGATGACATAGGAATATTTCACGTGATAGATTGAAAATTTGGTCGCAATATTTAGCCTCCCCCATAAGGAGATGCATCCTTCTCCCCATCTCTCACCTTAAAATTGGGCATGGCCATGTGACTTGCATTAGTTTATGGGACATTAGCAAATGCAATTCAGAGACTTAAAATGTGCTTGCTGAGATAACTTTTGCTGCCACATGAACAAGTCTGGGCAGACTTCTGGAGGATAAGACCACAGGACAGAGGTCATATGAGCTGAGGTCAAAGGCATATGAAATAAGCCATCCAATGAAATAAGCCGTCATAGGCCATCTAATCTTGATGGAAGAAGGAGTTAGGAGAAAAAACAAATATCGTTGTTTTAGGCCACGAAATCTTGAAGTAATTGCTTATATCCTTCAGAAGACATCAATTAACTTTTTTAAAAAAATGTATTTGGTTGTTGCAGGGTCTCACTACATAGCTCAGACTTGTGGTGATCCTCCTGCTTTCAGCCTCCCCAGTGCTGGGATTATAGGCATGTGCTACCATGCCTGGACTCTAGCCAGCTAGCCCACCTGGGTGCGGGACTGGTGTGGCATGTGGTGCCAGGGATGGAACTGCGGTTCCTAAGCTTGCCAAAGCTTGCCTAAACAGGCACTTTAGCCTGCTAAACTGTCTCGCCCACCCCCAATTAACACTTTTTTTTTTAAATATATTTGGTTGTTGCAGGGTCTCACTACATAGTTCAGACTCCTAGTGAGACTCCTGTTTTCAACCTCCCAGAGCTGGAGTTACAGGAGTGCATCACTATGCCCGGACTTGGTCCTGGCTCAGGGTGCCCAGTGGGCAGGGCCAGCACAGCATGTGGGACAGGGATCAAATCCCGAGCACTGTGCTTGCCTAAGCAGGCGCTTAGTCCTCTGAGTTATGTCTCCAGCCCACCACCCCTGCATTAACTCTTAACTATGAATCTAAAGGTGGTTCACAGGCATGGATATTCTCTTATCCTTAATCTTCTTGGGAGATTTGTATTTAGCCAGACATCAAAGGTTGGAACTAAAAGATGAAAATTTAGTTGCAGAATGTAAGCCATGGCCAGTGAATAGTGGAGGTATTTGGGGAGGAGGTGAAATCCTTCCAGGGCTCCTAAAACAGCTTCACACAGGTGATTTGAGTTTGTCTCGCAGATTCACGTACCTTTCCTTCAGAGTACTTTGCAGTTATATTTCAGTAATGATTTTACAGTGTCTAAACTATAATGCTATATGCTTTATAAGGACAAAGTCAGGGCCTAATTTGCCCATGATTGTACCCTGGAACATAGAAGATAATTTTTTGTTGGAAAAATAAATGAAAATAAATTTGAGTTTTACCTATTTCATATAAGGAACTCATGCCCTTAAAAAACATCACTTAGTTCTGACTTCAGTAACACATATACTAAAACTGGAATAATACAGAGAGGATTAGTACAGCTCCTTGCAAGAATGATATGCGAATTTGTGAAGCATTCCATATTTTGTTTATGCCCCACCATCAAGAGTTTATACTTACTATGATTATAGTCATTCCAGTTCACATGATGACTATCCATCAAGGAGCTACAGTGATAGAGATGGATATGGTCAGGATCGTGACTGCTCAGATCAATTGAGTAGAGGTTCCTATAGATATTCGTATGAGAGATATGGTAACTTGCATAGTGCTCCACCTATACAAGGGCCTGGTCAACTTGTGGTGGAAGGAGTCGCTATGATGATTATGGCAGCTCATGGCACCAATATGGTGCAAGTGGAGACAGTTACTCAAGCAGACTGGCAGACAAGAATAAGGGCTTCCCCCTGCTATGGAAAGAAGGTAGCTTCCTCCTTGTGATTCCCACAGCAGTTCAGGCCTTGGAGCACCAAGAGGTGGTGGCCATGGAGGAAGTGGATCTGATAGAGAGGGAGGCAAAACAAATGCTAGAAACAAAAAGTGGAAACTATCCTGCCATAAGTATCCAAGGACTACTAAAAGGAAAATTGTTACCTTTTAAAAATTTCCTATTAAGTTCCTCTACATAACAAGAAAAAAAAAAAAAGAAACATGTTTAATTTTATTTGATTTTATGACTTGCTCTCTACAAACAAATGTTTAAGTGTGTAAGGCTTGACTTGTTGTACTAGGGTAATTTTAAATAAGTGTCCCTAAAGGTTACTTCCTACCTGATTTTCTTTTTTCCCCAGCAAATAAGGCAAGCAATTTTGAGCTGTCTCATGAACATCTAACCATCTAGGTGTACACTGATCTCCATTAAGAGATGAATAATTTTACCTGTACAGACAAGCTAGCTATTAGAGAGTGGTCATAGTATGCTACTCTTAGCGAATTCAAATGATGCTAGCAGGCACTGGGGCATATTAACTTTTCCAGGTGTCTGTTTCCTTACCTACTAAATGGGATAGTATCTTAGAAGAGATAACCTTTGGTGCAGATGTTCATATCATTCTAGATTATAAGGCTACAGTCACAATGCAATTGGAAACTGAAGGCTCAACTGAAATTGTTTAATAAACTCTGAAAATCCTTTGAAATCTGTCACTACCAGCATCCATCTACTTTTCATCTGAGATAATGTAAGGAAGAAAATTGAAAGAGCACGAGTCAGACAGAGGTGGGTTCAAATGATGCTAGCAGGGTATCTTCCAGCTGAAATCTCCATGTTCTCAGTATGAAAAGGCCTCAGATCAGACACCTATGTAAGGAAAGTGCTATTCACCCAGTAAACCCAAAAACAAATGGATAGTGCTGGCCATAATTTACCTTTTTGACATTTCCTTGGGAATCTGCAAGAACTTCCCCTTTCCTCTCTTCCACCATTTAAGTGTGTTAAGCAGCTACAGAATATTAACTAAAAAGTTTGGTCAAAAAAAAAAAAATCACTTCACAGTATTTGTATCTCATGGGCCCACTTTTATATATACTTCCAACCATAGGCTGCTGTTATTTGATTCTTCGAGGTATGACATGTAGTCTCACATAGGCTTCAGATGCAGTAGCAGAAATTGATGAGATCCAAGGACACTGATTTCTGTAATTCTTTTCTCTTCCTCCACACTGTTGGCAAACAAAGTCAAATAGATATCCCCGAGACAACAGTATCCAGGAAACTCAATATCCAAGGAATAATCTTTGGTGCAGAAGCAGATGACATAAGTATAGAGTCAGGTTTGGAGGATGTTCATATCATTCCAGGTTATAAGGCTACAGTCACAATGCAATTGGAAACTGAAGGCTCAACTGAAGTTGTTTAATAAACTCTGAAAATCCTTTGAAATCTGTCACTACCAGCACCCATCTACTTTTCATCTGAGCTAATGTGAAGAAGAAAATTGAAAGAGCATGAGTCAGACAGAGGTGGGTTCAAATGATGCTAGCAGGCACTGGGGCATATTAACTTTTCCAGGTGTATGTTTCCTTACCTACTAAATGGGATAGTATTTCATTAGACTATAGGTACCTTGAAGACAGGGATCATTTCCTCTTATCTTTACTTATCTAATATTTAATGGTACTGGGCCCATACTATTCTGGAGTTATTCAGAACAGATCAATTTCCTCTTAGCAGTGACCCAAGATATACTCTTGGGCCACTGAGTATTCTTGCACTGCTTAGGGTGATTAGGAATTTTTCTTCTTCTTGGGCCTTAACTTTCCCTTTTGTAAAATAGAACCTGGATAAGATCTTCTCCAAGCTGTTTTTCAGATGTAATATTTGCTGGATCTATTCAGTATCCTCAACCCACTCCTGCTCCTAGAAATAATGCTACAAAGAAGACAATAAGTCATGAATCATTTTATATTTACAGATACACATGCATTTAAAAGATTCTATAAAATACAATGTTCTGGCCTACTTTTAAAAGGTCAAACTTATTTTTTAATCTTCTTTTATTTGGATTGTTTAGGAAAATGAAATTTGGGACAAGTTGCCACTAACACATATTATACAGCTTCAACCTGGGTGGCTAATTGCACTATTAACCATGATTGACAAGCATTGCCCTGCAATCAGCTGGAAGCTGTTGCTTTCTCCTGGATAGAAATGAGGTCACAGAGGAGGGCTGGGGAATTGCCATCTAAAAAGCAGGTCTGTGTGTCTGATGCCCAGGAAAAAATTTTGCCATTATAACATTTAACTCTTGATTTTATCTGTTTATTCTCTTTGTTGTAAAGATGCTTGCTCCCTGAACTGGCCCTTGAGTTTTAAAAAAACACTTTTTTTGTGTGTGTGGTACTGGAAATTGAACTTGGGACCTTACACTTACCAGGCAGGTGCTTATGCTGCTGAGCTATATTCTCAGCCCATAACAGGTTTTAAATTAAAAAAGTTCAGTTTTTGCCTCAGCATGTGGTAGGAAAGGATTATTTGATACAGGTATTAAAACATCTAAAAGTTATGAAGGTATTGAAAATTCTAGTACTAGAGTAGATGGGTGTTATTGTCTAGAGGAAATATTAATCATCCATGACACCGTGTATAACCCTATAATGTAGAACGCATACCCATAACTGCTGCCCTGTGAAGGGAATGTACTTTGTCATGGTCAGAGAAGTTAATCAAGTCAATTCCCTGAAATGCCTCAGTGCCAGAGCATGGAGGCTACGAAAAGCCCTTTTTGGGAACCAGATGAAAATTGCCCAACAGAGGCAAATGCAAGGAAAGTCAGCACCTAGACCTCAGAAGTACTGGGCATTTTGTGCTGAAGCCTTTGGGATCCTGTCACCTCAGAGAGTAACTCTGTTTTTCTGATCATTAGACGCCCATCACCTCAGATGAGTCTGAATAACTGAGCAATGTGTTAACAGATTAGAGACGTCTTTTCTCCAGTGGATTTAAGAGTCTAATGGCCCTGAGAATGAATCCTAATGTGGCTCTCAAACTCACCAGCTGTGTGATCTTGGCTGAGTCTCTTAACTTATTGGGATCATATTTATCTAAGAGACGCAATACAAAATGTGCTTAAGAGCATAGACCTTAGAACCTGCTGGCTGAGTCTGAACCTCCAGCTCTACCATTTACTCATTTTGTGACCTTAGGTAAATAAAAACCTCTCTGTGCCTTTGCTTCTTGACCTTTAAATGAGGTTCATTATAATGTCTCCCTCACAAAGATGTTAGGAAGATAAATGAGTTAATACACACAATGTGCTTGGAATAATGTGTAGTGCAGAGTAAGCATGACATTATGTTAGCTAAAATAACATTGAGATGATAGTTCTGATCTCTGAAATCAGGTTTGTTTTGCAGGTCAAACTGAAATGGTGAAGGTGAAAAAAAATTACCTCAGACTTATAAATGCCTGAAGGGATCTAAGATCATCTAAATACAACTTATCATCTTATAACTGGGAAATCAAGACTCTGAGATGGGAGTAAGCCAGTCCAGAATCACATTTGATTAAATGGCAGAGTCCAGGTCTCCTAAATTCCAGCTGCAATTCTGTTCTGTGCACTGCATCAAAGAAAACAACATCTGGATATAGTTGACTGAACTATCCCTTAAACTGGTTGACGGACTTGTTGCCAGTGAAGGCACTTTCCTAAGACGATGAGCTGCATGTGAATTTGAGAGAAAACTGAGACCCCGCCCCCGCATGCACACACATGTACACCAACTTTTGAGAGGGCATGTTAGTACAGGGGATAGAAGGCTGAGGGTTCAAGACATGATGGAATAGAGTTTTCAGGAACCATTGCCAGCTCCATATCATTATTTTAACTACAACTCAGTTGAGAGTTAACCAGATAGCTCAGTAGATTAAAGCACCTGTTTAGTTTGATCTCAGGGCCTGCTGTGCCAGCCCCACCCCCAGGGTATGCAGAGACAGCAATTGAGACTACAGGATTACAGGCACTGGTGGCCTGCACCTGTAATCCCGGCGCTTGGGAGACTGTAACTCACGCATGTAACCCCAGTGCTTGGGAGGCTGTAAATGGGAGGATCACTATGAGTCCAGTCTATGTAGTGAGACCCTGTACTAACTACATAAAACAAAACAAAAACAAAAACAAAAACAAACAAAAAAAAAACCTTAATTGAGTTCCTGTGCCCACAGCAAGTTATAATCATGAGCAAATCCATTCTGACTTCAGAGTATCTTTTCTTTTTCTCTAGCTGTTTAAGGGGTGGGTACTAATGTGTCACGTCCAGAAGAACAGAAGTAGGATTAGGATCTCTGAGTTCTATTCCCCTAATTCTCCCGTAGACTGATTTTGCTTTGAGTCAGATTTCCCAGTTGGACTGATCAGGAACAACAGGTGGATTGGAGGAAAGGGAAAGATAGGAAGAACAGTCTATGAAAAACAGCAAATGGAATCATATGGGCATTATTTGATCTAGGGAAGAGACATGTCCTCAGGACCATGATTCCTGTTCTCAAATCACTTAAGGGTGCCCCAGGGCAGAGGGAACAGAGGCAGAGATATCAATCATGACACTGGAGCTGGAACAAAGTTGTTCCAGGAGAAACTTCCATGTGAAACAAAGGAAAATTTCTGACTATGAGAGCTGCACAAAGACAGTGTAGACAGTCAGCTGCGGTCCCTGCCTGTAATGTATGCTTTAGAAGAGATCTGGATGTGATCTTCACAGCCCCTTGTCGGAGATAGGGAGGTTAGAATTAACCAGTCAAACTAGGCAAATGGGGACATCAACTCTAAAATTTTCAGATTATTGGAGTTTATGAACGAGTGACTAATTCCATGCAGTTCCTATAGTCAGGAACTAGATGGAAAGCAACAAAATCAGAAGCTCAGGACCAGTTCTTTATGTCTCCTGCATTTCTCTTTGTCTTTTTCTTGAACTCATTTGCTTGGACTTTCATACAGCAGAAACCTTTGACATTTTTCAGGAGATAACCTTTTTCTTTTAAGTGTGTTTCTGACTCAGCCTTTGTTCCTTTAGCATCACTAGAGAGCCTGAGCTCTCCAGAGATTAGTATTGGCCTGTCACCACAGCAACTGCCCAGGCCCTCTGGGCATCTGTGGTAACAGTCACAGAGCTTTGCAGTGAGAGGAAGCTCCACAGGGAGAGTGATATGAAACACAAAGGTTGTACTTTGCGAGAAGCATTCTTTAATAAGATTAGCAATGCAGGTGGGCCTCACCTTACACATTTGGCCAGGCCCCAAGATATAAGGGTGTGTCAAATTTTGGTAAAAGGAGGAAATCTCATTTCACAGGTAGGAAAGAGACCCTCTTTCCAAGTCTTCATATCAAACCCTCTTCAAAATATGCAGTTATCTTTTGCAAAGGGAATTCTCCACCCATGCCATGTCCTGTGCTGTTAGTCTAGTGCTGAATGTCCATAATTGGGGCCATCTCTAGGGAACTCCAGGGGCTGGCAAAGAACAGTTGGAACTTAAGTTTACTCAGGGGTGGGAGTGGACACTGTATCAGAGAGAAGCAAATGTGCATGGAGCCACAATGAGGGGTGTTAGAAGGGTGGGCTTTGCTTAGCATGAGCAGTTCTGCTGTAGCAGCGGTGGAGTGTCAGAGAGACGCGTGTTCTTGGAGGTACCCAGCACGGAAGGATCTGTGTCCAGCGAATCAGACATCTTTTCACAAATGGCATCCACTAGGCGCTCAAAGGCCTGCCTCACACTGATGTTCTCCTTGGCACTGGCTTCAAAGAAGTCAAACCCTAGGGAGAGAAGAGATACAGGCACAGATTTTTCCTATCCTATCAGCTGGAACTCTTCTATGCCTCCAGCCAAGCACTGTGGATCAATATAGCCAGTGCTTGGAAGTGAAGCAAGGAGATCTAATTCTATGGGCAAAAGATTCTGCTTCAAAGAGAGAGTTCAGGGCAGGGATTACCTGCACTAGTTTGACAGTCAAACAGACCCTGGCTCTACTACTGACCAGCTCTTTAATCCTGGAAAATCACTTACTCTCTTTACAAACAAATTCTCTGATGGTAAATATGAGACTTTTACTTACCACACAGAGGTATTTCAAATGTGAAACAAGATTTTATAGATAGATAGACAGATAGATAGACAGAAACATGTAGTGATTGACACTACCTCAGACACAGAAGGGAGATCATTAGGTGTTTGCAGAAAGAATGAATACACAAATACATGTGCAGAACATTTTCTACTTTCTAAAACATTTACCACAATCATTATCTTATTTGTTCTTCATGTTGCTCTAGAGGAGTGAGTGTCAGTCTTACCCTCTTCATGTCACTAACACAGACACTGTGGCTTAGGGAAGTAGGCTGGCCTGTCAAGGTAAGTAAGGCACCATTATGAGAAGCCCGGGTTTTGAACTTTTTGAGCAGAATTTCCCTCTTTCCTTTGCTTCTCACTCAGTCCAGTTCCTTGATAGCTCTAGTCTAGGACCTTGGAGGCATCTCAAAGGCCACAAAAAGTAAGACAAGCTTATTTTCCCTTTCTATTACAGACATCTTGGCTTATCTCTATTCAGTGGGGTTTCTCCCCTCTTAATTCTTTTTTTTTTTTTCAAAGTTTTATTGACAAACAGATAGCAATGAGACAGTTTCAAATCATATCGGAAGGACAGTTTCAACAAATAATACACTGCATATATTCTTCTTAGTGGTTAATTGCTGTACAAGATGCAGACTTGTGATCCTATTTACAAACACCATTAGAACAAATCATTCTATTCAATAAGAGAATGCAACTATATATCTATCCCAACCTCTTTGAATACACAGATACAAAATGGACATTCATCGGTATACCCCATTTTTTCTAAGTTCCGTTATTGAATATTATAGGTGTGTAAACTCAGCAAAATATTCTAAAAGAGTCCAGTAGCCCATAATAGCATTGGGTCTTCTGTTTAACTGGCAATGTCTGAAATTATTGACCTGAGTCCCCCACAGCTCAACTTAACAGCATGGCTTTATTTCTTATATTTCGTCTTCATACTTTTCTACTGGATGGTTAAGACCAAGGTAAAGCAAGACCTATGCAACAAGAGTTGTAGCTTTTTGGTCTGAGAAGGTCAGTGAAATGCCCTCAGGATTTGTCCTGAGATCCTGTACCTCAGATTGTAGAACCTTTATCAGTGCAGCCATGTGGATGAGTCACGGCCATTGCTTGGCCAATGTGCTCTCTGTGAAAGCCTGAGAGTGTCTTCTCCCCTCCCCTCTTAATTCTTGTGGAAAATCCTATACATCTTTCCTTTCCCTGAAACACACTTGCACGCACACACATATGCATGTGTGCACACACACACACACACACACACACACCAAAAAGATAAAGGAGAACTGTACCTAAAATGTCCTACATTCTTGATTTTTTAAAATAACCTAAGATCCTTAATGACACTTTTTTTGACACAGAACAAAACCTGGTTGTCTCAAGATATCTCCTGACTCAGGCAAAGTGGGTACCTCCTACCTAAAAATTGTGACCAGCCTGCTGGCAGTCCTTAGAAGCATAAGATACCTTTTCCATGTTCCTGCCCCAGCCCTCTCTCCTTTCCTTTCTTCCAAGCCTCTATTTCTCCCCAGAAGCCTTTCCTCTTCCCTTTTTTACATTTAGTTTCTTTTTTCCTTATGTTGCTTATACTTTCTTTGGAATCCATAATATCTAATGAGCACTTACTATATGCCAGAAACTACGCTAGAAGCTTTACAAATATTATGCTATTTAATCCTTGCACCATCTTTCCAATTTAAAAATGAAAAAATGAAGACTTCAGTGGATTACATAACACCCATGGTCAGGTGGCTAAGTCAGTGGGAACTGTATTCAGACCTGGATTTGCCTGGCTCCAGCCCTGACTCTCATTTCTTCCTTTCTCCCTTTCAATTTGCATTTTCTCCCTCTTAATCATATTTTTTCCTTTGCAAGTCTGTTTGCTTTGATCTGACTACCACAGGGTCTGAATCAGGACAAGTCACTGCACCTGTCTGAATCACTTAACCTCACTGACCCTCAAACTCTTGTCTGTCAAATAGATATGACAGTGCTTTCTACTGAAAGCAGTTGGGAGGATTAAGTACAATGGATAAACTGCTGTATAAAAGCTGCCTATTATAATAAGTTTCTGCTCTTCTTTTATCTTGCTCCTCTCACCTCTCTTTTTCCCTCTATTATCATTTCTCACAAAGGAGTGGCCTCTTCCTTCTTGTTATTCCACCATCCACAGAGTGGCCTGAAGCTCCAGATACAAAGCTCCTCTTCCCAGCCTCACAGCTTGAAGGCACTCACAGTTCACAGTTCCTAGCAGCCCACCTCCTGCTAGCAACCTCTCCTGTGGCCCATTTCCTGACCCGAGAAAAGCGAGCTGCAGAAATGCTTGCTAATTGCGGACACGTGATGAAAACAGCAGCAGCTGCTCATTATCTTGAGACTGGAAGCCCAGTCTGTTTTGGAGACGCTTCAACATGTATCTTTTCCTTAATGAATATCACAAAAATTATTTGACTGACTAATGGCAAATGGCAGTGTTTGGAGAGGTAGAAGGAGGGTATTGCTTAGGAAAGGGGCAAAAGGTAAAGCAGTAAATAAGATCGGTTTCGCTGTCAGTTTGGATGAAGATGAGAACACCAGTCAAAGCCATGGGTACAAATCCCTTCTGACAAACTGGTACAAAGGGGAGGACATGTCATATTTTACAGGTGAGCAGTGGGGAGAGAGGCTAGGGGTCAGTATGGATTTGAATCCAGTCTCTTGTCAGCTAGTACTGTGTTTCCCTGAAAATAAGACTTACCCAGGAAATAATCAGCCTTGATAACTACAGAACAAAACTGCCAGCCCCAATCAGCCTACCTTTGCTGTTTTGTTGCTCAGTGGCTACTTTGTAAGGCAATCAATAAACTAAGTCTTTTTTGGAAATTGACACTGTCCAAGGTCTTCTGTTGAGAGCCAGGGACCTGGAAAGACTGAATATAGTTGTGCAGAAGGCACACTAATAAGTCTCAGTTCCTCACTTCTGCATAGTCCTTTACAATGCAATTTTAAAGTAATCTTGTGACATGGGTAGGACAAGGGAGGGCTTATCACTTGTAACTGCAAATAGGAAAACCGAAGCTCAGAGATGGAGCATAAATAAGGGATTTTCCTTAAGGCCTCTTTGTTTCACTTTCACTTAGAACAACAACAGAACAGGCTATAACAACTCAAACACAGTTAGAGGAACCAGCAGAGGCCATGCAGGAAAAGGAGGGAATGGAGGGGAGGAAAGGGAAAGGGAGCTTCCTATAGTTAGTACAAAATGTGAGCCTTTAATGTCAGAACTGAGCAAAACTCTGCCTAACTAACTTCAGTATTCAGCTGAGATGTGGCTCTTCATTTTCTCATGCTTTCCTTTAGCACAGCACTTCTTTATTTTTTATTTTAGGGAAGAGTCTACAAGGTGTTCAGGGTCTCCCTACTAGATCGGACTCATAGTGATCTGTCTGTTTACAGCCTCCCAAGAGCTGGGATTACAGGCATACGCCATCACACCCAGTCTCATTTGCTGTCTCAGCACACCCCTGGGGGCAGGGCCCATACGGGCTGGCCTCTGAGGCTGCTTGCAGGTGCTTTAATCCGCTGAGCTACTTGGCCAGCCCCAAGCATAGCAGCAAAATGCATTTGAGGAGCTCTCTAGGTAGGAATCATGACTACCCAGCTCAGCAAGCATGGCAAGACTCCAGTTGGGCCCTGGGAATACTGAAGCGAATCAGCAGTGCCTCAGTTTACAAACTTAATTTGTTTTACAACTTGGGGCAAGGTGGCTGAATCTGTATTTATGTGGGGACAATGGCCATGGTTGTGTGTCACCCAATGCAGAGTTTGTGAATGGAAGAAAAATTTTGCCAAATACTTTTGTGAACCAGGTTGTTTGCAAACAGAAGCATTTGTGAACTGAAGTATGACTAGTTTCTGCCTTGAGGAGCTCCTGGTCTAATGTGGAAGACAGACACAGGCCCCAATGCACCCTACCCAATTACTGTGTATAGTGGCAAGTGCAGAAGCAGTGGTGAGCAAAGGGATTCCCAGGACACAGAGCAGGCATCTAGCCAAGGCCAGGCCCCATGGAAGGTTTTTCTTAGACTAATTGTTGCCTATGCTAATACCAGCTAGAGAAAGACACACGACTGTGAATATACCCATGTCCACCTGCGTGTGTAATACACGGGACAGGAGAAACAGTATGAGCACGGAGAAAGGACAAAAAAAAAAAACAAAAAACAAGCCTTGGTATTTGCTAGCAGGACAATAGCAGTTTGTTATCATTACCACAGAAAAACCAAAGTGGTGAGACATAAGTCTATAAGAGGGCAATCATAAAGCACTCATATGTCATGCCAACAAAGTGACATCACTGTCATCTTAAAGGTACTCAACACATGAGAACTTTGATTCCAAGTTACCGGCTCACAGGTCTAGTCAGCACAAGAATCTTTTTTGTTTAGCAGGACAGGCCCTAGTGCACCCCACCCAATTACTGTCAGACTCCTGAAGGCCCTTCATTAGTAGGCCCTGGTGGTAACCTTTTCCTCAGGTTTATTAATAAAGGCTCTCAGGAGTAGAGAATCTAGTAAGACAGGAAGATGACAACTAATTAAGCAGAACTGCCACCTCCAACTCAGACCTTTTCTCCCTCTAATGGGCTTCAGAACAATGAGATTTCTGCATTTTTAACAGAGCCCAAGATTCTCTCCTGCCC